CTTGGATTGCACAAAATACCCAGTACTGGCACATGGGTGCACTTGCTTCACCCCAAAAAACTGCATCTGGCCAAAGCAGTAATTACATCAGTGTCTACACCATCCCAGGCTCCCCTTCCTGGCTGGATGCTTTGGGTTGGGAGGCAACAGCCACCAGGAATGTCCTGGGGAATGCTGCTGAGGGCTAACACAAAGTAACCCCTACTGAAAACACATCAAAGGCAAAACAGTCTTCTCAGCTACCCCTACAAGTCTAGATCCATCTACTGATACCACTGGGCACTGGTTTTGGTGACATTTTCCCTGGCCCAGAGGGAAGCAATCACTATGGATGGCAGCTACCAGAGAACTCAGGTGTACATTCACGTGAAACCATTCAATGGCAGGAATTCCACCCTGCCCCAGCTGGTGTCTGCAGGAGCTCCTGGAGTGAAGGCCTCCTGAGCATAAGGTTTCTTAGTCCTCATTCTAGGCTGGCTGTTTTTTTCTTGGGTCTTTCACAAGGGAAGTCAGGGAGGCAACCAGCTTAATTAGGGAGAGGTAGGCAGCTATAACAACCAAACTGAGTATTTAGCTTGTGGTCATGGAGTGATTTTTGTCAGGGAGAAGACACTGAGAAGGAAGTTAGCTATCACCTTAATGTCATCTGGTAGATAATGCAGAACATCCTGTTTTCCTAAGTACTCTGCCAACCATACAGCAGGACACACGCCATAAGAAAGCCTCTCCCAAGGCTGCTCTTCCGCCCAAGCCCTCTATACATTTTTACCTGTTAAAATAAAAGTAGTACTATTAGCACTGACCAGACAGGCTGCACACTCCCTCAGCCTCAACATCTGTGGAGAAAGGTACAATGTAAGTAGGGGATGCAACTCAGATGTTTCTCCTACACCACAAGCTATATGATCCAGCAAACAACTGGGCAAGGTAGTGCACATATGTAATAATGCCCTGAGATCTGATGCAATTTCTTAGGCGATGTTTGTTTTTCTCTGCCTATTTCATTGCTCCTTTTTTGCTTATTTGGGTTTGTTTCAAGAAAAACAGAAACATACCCTTTGGGATCACTGAAAACTGACAGCAATGAAGTAAACATCAGCTAGACTAGCTTAGAGGTGCAACTGCTACCAACAATCAGAGAAGGTGGCTTTAATTTTACCTGTTTATTTATTGCCCCATGGCACTGCAGAACAAAGCATTTGGGAGCCCAGCAGAGACATGGAAGAAATAAAGAAAATGTGCCTCAGAGCCAACAGCAAGCTGTCTCTCCACCTTTCAAAACAGTAGGAATGCTTATTTCTTGAGAATACTTTATCCTCTCTTAAAAACAGCACTGACACCAGTTGCAAAGCCAGTGCCTTCAAGCAGTGAGCCAAACCTGCTGCAGGTGGCAACCTAGGCAGCTATGTCATGGTTCTTCACTGACACTAAGGTCTTCAGCTGTCTATTCTGATTTGTACTGCTTTTATCTTGACTGCTGAAGACCTTGAAGACATGGCTGGACAGACAAGTAACAAGTGCTGGGAAAGAGAGGGCAGCTGCCTGCAGAATTGATTGTATTAATGTATGTGTGTGCTTGTATGTAGATTTCACTGCTCAGGGCTTGCTTGAAGTGGCCCTAGAACAGCAGTGCCTGTACAGCACATGAGCTGCCTATACTGAACTCCCTCACACCACCAATTAGTACTTCATCCTGGCCAGAAAAGGTGCTACAGGAAGCAAGGGTGGGCTGTTCCCTACTGATCACAACCTCCCTTCTCACTGCCATGGCTCATAGCTGTAGAGACCAGGAGCCCCCCCCTTGGACTCCTGGAGGAAAAGGGAATACAAAATCTGTTGGCTTGAGCACACAGCACTCCCTGAAGAAAAGCTTAATTGTCCTACATTTACTATAACTAAGATGCTGACTTGCAGGCACCTGTGTAAGCACCCTGCCATCTTAAGCAAGTCTCCTTTCCCCAACATTCAGCATGTGCCTAATTTCAGCTCAGACAACACTAACAGTCCATCTTGAACTTGTGAGGGTTGTTTTAAAGAAGTTTGAAGTGAAAGGACTCTGGCAGCTGCTTCCTGAACAGATTCAAATGCCTGAAGCCAAGTACAGGCATGCATGCTCTGCATGACTGGTGTTAGAACTAAAATCTACACCACAGCTCAAAATTTTTACATTATTAATGGAAGATCACCTCCTGAAGCCTGTTTCAAAGCCATCAGGCAGCAGTGGGAAATGTGTGGAAGCAGGACACCACACCAATGTGAGAGGAGGGGGAGAAGCTGCAGAAACTCCAGCAGAGCCCACATCACACAGTAGGGAGCTCACAGACACTCCCATTGGGAAACACAAGCTGCATCTCTCTGCACCACTGATTCACATGGCTTCAGATCCAGGGCAGAACTGTAACAGAGGAAGTATTGCAAATGTTTTCAATTATTAGCTCATCAGTTAATTAGACCTCCTAATTGGGGAAATACATGTATAAATACAGTGCTTTCAAGTTTGGAGGTGTGCTTACATCTGATATCCACTCCTACTGTCTTTCCTAGGTCCCCAGAGTCACTGGAGGAAACGTCCCAGAGAGGAAAGTATTTAAGCACCTCACACCTCATTGTCAATAGCAGCTAAAGGGTTGACCTGTAGTTCCCTTCCTTGCACAGGGATCTAAGCATTGCTAAGCATAAATACAGAAGTACTCATAAGATTAGAGGATGCTGTTTGATGCACTGTCAGACAACGAATGCCAAGGAGAAGGCAGCAGGGAACCCCAAGTTGGAGGCTTTGTAAATGAGTGTATCATGTGAAGGACAAACAGGCTTTGTTCCCTACAAGCCCTAACAACAATGAGCAGTCTGTCATTCCAATGATACAGAGGCTTGATTTCTTATTACACATTTAAAATATTTTATTATAGAAACATGATCTTTGATGACTGATCTGAGGGTTATTTTTGCAGTCAGTCCACTAGTCTTTACAGTGTAGAGAAATATGAGTCTTCTGACTTTTGACCTGTACAATACTCCCTATGTGAAATGCTTATTGGAATCACTCCTCCCCCTCAAACCTTCCCAGCAGTAACAACTTCAGCTTATGGCTTTGATAGTTTTCTTGTGTCTACATCTGATGTTTGCTGCATGTTTCAGTACAACACACCAGTATCTACTCTTCTCTTTGGAAGAGTTAACTTGCAGATGTTACTGTGGGCATAAAATATAAAACCCTGTAACAGTAACATCCACCATGCTGATGAAGGGGGCTTTTTCCCAAGAGACCACCAAGTCAAACCAAGGCTTTGAAGAGCTCAGTTGAAAACAGTATTAAATCTGTCCTTGGAAACACCTAGCTTAGCTCATTTTGGCTGTGTTCATTATGCATCCATCTCTGCACAGAAGGTTCACCCTGCATCCTCTCCCACTTACAACTGCTCCAGATTCAAGTAAAAGCAAGACAATGCCACTTACCAGTTCAGAGTACAAAGGGGAGAAGCTGGTTATATGGATACTGACCCCAGCAAGGAAGGGTGCCCCTTATACATAAGGACAAGTGTCAACTAAAGCTAAAAGGAAGATCACAGTAACACTTGCAGATTCAGTCACATCAGGATTCTGCACAGCCCTGAAGGCAGAGGGAAGGGTTATATAGCCAAGACAAATCCTTTGAAAAGCTCATGTTTGCACATACAGCCAGCATACATCCACCAATCTGTCACTAATAACACAGATTATTTCAAAGCAACCTGCATTGTTCTGAGCAACACAGGAAAGGATGCAAAACCACCACCTCTGCTTTTAAACCTGTGCTCAGGACACAGACATTAAAGTATTCTCATCACACCAGGTCAGATTTTTGCTTCCTGGAGTCTGCCTGAGCCACACAAGTAGAAAGGTAGGAACAACTGCAACTATGAAACCAGTGACAACTTTCACAAAATACTAAAGTACCTCCCACAAAGAGTTCCATATGCCTGGATAGAGGCTGTAGGTGAAGACACTCAGTGGTTGCACTCTCTGCTCTACTTCCCTTCTGCATTTTTTTAATAAACCATGACTTTCCACCACCTCCAATACACGCATGCAGTGCTAACACAGCAGCCAAGAGAAACAATCTTTGAGAGGAGTACCCCAAAAAACCCTAATAAGTTGCCATGTAAGAGAGACTGAGCAATAATGAGACCTGCCAATTCCCTGAGACCAGGCAGAGCTGTTCAGGTCCCAGCTCTACTGCAAGCCTCCCTTGTGATCCCAGAGAAGTCACTTACTTGCCTGCATGGGACAGAAAGGCATACCAGATCTTCCTGCACAAGCTAAAAAAAGAAGGATTCTCAGTGTTCACAGCAAATATGGCTGTGCAAGCCCCCAAAACAAAGCATTTTCTCCTGGATCCTGCCATTCAAAATCCTGCCAGACAGCAGCAGAGGATAAAATATCCTGTATCAGTCAGTCACACGGAAACAAAAAAATCCAAGGGAAAGGGAGACTTCAGTGTCAGATATTAATCAGCTTTGAATTTGTAAACTGGATGCCAACATCAGCTTTTCTTCATCTGTGTCCTCCCAGGACACTTCCCTCTGAAGCTCAGGGGGTAGAGCAATAAATTGTAGCCATACTGTGTTCACTGCTCCACTGACAAAATGGCAAAATAACTAGTGCTTCCCAAAAACACACACTATTTAAACTCCTTTGAGGAAAATAAAAAAATAAAAAAATAAAAAAAAATCGGCATATTGACCTACTTCAGTGGGCTGAGGATTGTAATTTCATATCCAAAACAGCTGCCATTCCTGGCATTAAGACCATCCTCTTTCTCTTCCACAGAAGAAGCTAAAGACCACACTAAGCTGACAGAGCAGCTTAAGGTGCTTCTGCAGGATTGCAAAGGGTTTAATCAGCTGGAAGTTATAACCATGCACCTTCCCAGGATGGCACATTTCAGAAATTTACACACATGCAAAATCAGCATTACTAGAGGCGGCAGGTGTAGGAGGCTCTTCCTACCATGCCTTTACCTGAGCCAGAGGAGTTTCCAAACTTGCGCAGTTTTCCCAGGACCTTCTGGACATCCTTTATGCTCTTGTCCTGTTGGCTGTACAAGAGTAACCTCTTGGCATCCGAGAACAGGCGGGAAACACTGGTGACAGGAAAAGCAAACAACCAGCAGTTGTCAGCCCCAGGAGCCAGCACCCACAGACACAGCTTTACATCTTGGTTCCAAACTTCAGTCACTTTCAGTTATGCCACTGCCCTCTCCAGTACAATCAGCCCTTTCTTCAGTAACCACCCCAGGGACAGTCCAAGGAGCCCAGCAAACGATGGCTGCTATTGCAAGGTCAAAGTTACACCAGGGATCTCCATGCATTTGAAAGCTGTTATTTAAGACTGGGAGGGA